TCTTTAATTTCTTTCCAGTTTAATAATATTTAGCAATGTTAATGAAATGTAGCCTATAGAAATGGCCAGGAATTGGGTGCTTGGATGATTTGTACATATAACCTCTGTCCAACTGGTTGGTCTCTGAGCAATTTATCTAAAAACAACATATTATAGCCTATGGCCCTAAAGACTTTATATAAAACATCAATGTTATGTCATAATATGTCAGATACCTTAACTGAATTTAAAATCATTGCAATAAATTCTCAGTTAGTATGATGGCAACAACTCCATCAAGTAACAACTCTTCAACATCAAGTGCAAAAATAGATGTAAATGATGCAAGATATAACAATAACAAACACTGGATTAAAAAAAAAAACAACAACCTCCCAATAAATGTCCAAACAGCGATGCTATTAGAGCAGATTTTTTTTTTCATGAAAATCCACTTAATATTAGCTACACATTCAATGGCACTCTTCTCTAAAACAGTGAATATACAGTTATATGACAGTTACATGTAATTACATTGTCTGCAAATGCATTAAACCCATATCATATAATGTAGTAATGTTATGGCAAATATGAAAAATTCATTATAGTGTTATATTTGGTCTCCAAATCTTAAGTATAGGTTTAGGGAATAGTGCATCCGACCCATATCTAAATAGTTCTGTCTTAAATCAGAAGATATATTTATATATATATATATTTCAATCCAAGTACACAATATATATAGACCTATATGATGACCACATAAACTTTAAGAATCATATGCTTTTTTGTTTGTTTAGATCGTTCAGAAGGGTTTGACCAAACTGTTAAACTAGGTTATTTACAAATCATCCAAACACCCGTTTCATTTCTAATATTATGACTAAGTAGTATTAAATTGTAAAGAAATTACAGATCCATCTTTGAAATCTGATTGGTTGATAACTTTTGACAACGTTTAATTCAGGTGCGAAAAGAATTAATATCTATAGCGCATGAGCACAGAGAGATTTGAGAGTGCACAGGACACAGTTTGAGTGAGAGGAGACATGTTTTAAGTGCGCACACTCTCTCCGGGCGGGAGCAGCGTCTATCTGAGCGCACGCGTCCGGTTTTGTGCGAGAGCAAAGGAAATCCGCGCGCGAGCGGAGAGATCTGCGCTCGCGCATTGTATTAATGTGCTTTCGCGCTACAATAATGCGCTCTCGACATTTGTCATTAAAATAACGCCATACTGAAACGCTGTTTTTTTTCATCTCCGTGCCTAAACGTCTTTGGTTGGGCTTCCGAAAGCGGATGATGTCAGGAAACAGTGGTTGCAATTTATTTTTTAACTCTGTTCCTAAGCATTATAATCCCAATTTGCTATTGTGTATTGCGCATTTTACTGAGGACAGCTTCCACAACATGAGGAAGTACAGCATTCGCCAAAAAGCTTTTGTTGAAAGATGGAGCAAGGGGCATGGCAGTACTGAAACACCGTGTAAGCTGTTTGCCAATCACAACGCACTGGGACAGCTAACCAATCACAACACATTTTGTTTTTTGGAAGGTGGACCTTCATCAAAGCCGGAACTAATCGAGCCGTTTGTGCCAGGCTGGGGAGAAAGGTATTTTAATGTAAATTATGTGAAAAATAATGCATTTTTCGAACCACCAAGCATGAGAGCATGTTCTAGTACACCCCCAAAACAAAATCAAGACTAAGTATATTATTTAGATTCGTGGTGCTTCCATAGGCTCCCGCGCGCGTGGTTTAAAACACCAAATAGTTATGAAATAGCCTATGACAAGTACAGGGAGTCTCTCTCTTGCCCCCACCCACCCATGCACGATAATATCGTCTATCGGCGATCTCACGGACTGGCGATATGACGATTTGAAAAATGACCATATAGCCCAACACTATGCTGAGCCATGTTGTGTATTCATAAACTCACAGATTCTGACCTCTTTCTAGGTGTGCAGCAATCTTTTTATCTACCTAAAACTAGAATTTTTTTTTCAAATTTCCATTCTCACCCCGTGAGACATTTTGCCTTTTTTCTATACTTTTACTTGTGTCATCTCCTATGTTCCCTATGTTCACTAAAGTGAAAGCCAAGCTCAGTATGTGGTCTTAAAAGGCCTGCAGGAATCACTCTACTCTCTTTCATCAATGTAGTCCACTCTTTGCTGTTGCCGTTAAGAGGAAGTGACACTGGCTTCACAGGAATCATTCTGAGCTCTGAGTGCGTACATGGCAACTATCAAACCATCACATAGAAAATAAATGCTTAAAGTCTTAAACAAGCTGTCACACTTAGCTGTGTGAGATAAAGCAAGGCATGAAAGCATGTCTCAGCCTTCATAATGTTCTTTTTTGCAGACTGCAGAATCAATTCTGATTTGACATTAGGCCCTGTCTCAAATCACACACTTCATGTTCATGATGTCCACAAGGCTCACACAGTTCATGATGTCCACAAGGCTGTAGGGTGCCCCATTTGACGTTCAATAATTCAGAATTTGATAGATAGATAGATTGATAGACAGACAGACAGACAGATCATAGATAGATAGATGGATAGATAGATGATAGATATACAGTGGGTACGGAAAGTATTCAGACCCCCCTAAATTTTTCACTCTTTGTTATATTGCAGCCATTTGCTAAAATCATTTAAGTTAATTTTTTTTCCTCATTAATGTACACACAGCACCCCATATTGACAGAAAAACACAGAATTGTTGACATTTTTGCAGATTTATTAAAAAAGAAAAACTGAAATATCACATGGTCCTAAGTATTCAGACCCTTTGCTGTGACACTCATATATTTAACTCAGGTGCTGTCCATTTCTTCTGATCATCCTTGAGATGGTTCTACACCTGGGGGTCTGAATACTTTCCGTACCCACTGTATATCATGAAATAAATCATAAAATGAAATGTGAGTCGCTGGGAAAAGGCAATGAAAAAAGTGTGTTGAGCTCATTGAAACTACCAGTTCAGTCATTAACTTGATGAAATCAGGTAGGCTACTCTGACCGCTTGCCTACGAGTGTGCTGACAGAAGTGAGTGCATCTATCTTGTCGAGTTTGGCTGGACAAAAAGAAAAAAGGAAAAACAATCGAAATCCAGATATCAAAGTGAGTGAAGACCTGGCTCCTCTCAATCAGGGACCTTCTGGAAGAGGAGCGCTACAGGCCTCAGCAATGGAAATTGGAAATCAACGTGAACAAAATCCATCTGCCTGTTACCCTTCCTCGTTCATCGATCTACAGCTCTGGGAATCTTCCAAGCTCTATAATCAAAATACTGATAGACATTTTTCTTTCTAAGGCACAAGATGATGACACATTAAAGTCATATAAAATGCCACTTAATAATGGGGTAATTAAGAATCTGGAGTAGATTAGATTATTTGATGCAAACAGTAAAATGTGTATTTGTGCAAAAATAAATATTCATTATTGCATACGCCTACATATGCAGTCAAATGCACAATACATTTTATTAACCACAAAAATGTTACAGACACAGAGACTGGTATCTTTGAAACTGTGCCAACAATATGAATTCACCCTCACTGTCTCCTGTCACTGTCCTCTCAACATTTCAATGCCGTTTCCAAGGAGACCAAAGAGCATTGGAATTCTGCAGTGGAATGCAGGCAAGTGATTGGAGGAGAGGGAAGAGTAGTTTAAGAGCAAATGAAAGGCAGTGAGCCGACACCTATGATCTCAACCGTGTTCATTTATAATTTGCTCTCTGTTACTAATCTCTGACCACAAACTGCACAGGGTGGTTATTTGATACAAAACTAGTTTAATTACATATCCCTGCACCACAGCACTTTGGTAAATAGCACGATAACTTCTTGTCCTGTCAAATGTGAATGAAGCAACCTTGTGCTTTAAATATTACATCTCTACAAATGCGAATGCATTCATGATGACTCTGGGGGTATTTTCATAAGAGTTGTTTGTTGTGAAGAGTCAAGAAGGGAAAACAACATTTTAGCCCACATACAGTGCACAGTCAAAAGAAATAACAGGAACGTTCACATTCAAACACATGCAATGAAAAGAAAACCATTGCTGCACAAAGGCACATATAAACGCTGTAAGCATGATTCATCGCTCTGCCAATAAGAAAACGCTTTTTTTCTTACCCATGAACTCGATGCCCAAGTGATCCACTGCTCCAGCGACGATAGAAGAGGGCAGCGTTGAAGGAGGAGGGAGGGAGGAAAGAGAGGAGAGAGAAAAAGATGTTAGAGACACTCATTGTGTGCATTCTATTCTCATTGCATGCATAGATATTGTGGGTTACTATTTATGCAAGAGAGTACTTTGATAGATATTTGTGTGTACAGCTTGTTCAGAAAACTCATGTTTTATTATGTAAAATAAAACCATGGCTGAAATCGTTTTCCTTTTACCATTTGCAGATAAAACAATACTATATATCGCTTTCATCTGTAATTGTGGATCAATGTCTGCAGTTCATTCAAAAATATGATATTCGTGAAGGATTTCTCTGCGTTGGATCAGAATGCAGACCAGCAGGTACAGCAACGCTGCAAAATTAAATCATTTCATTTATTCATTTATATTTTGTTATTTTATTTATCTTTGCCCACACACACACAAACAAGAAAAATGTATTTAACAAGAAAAATAAACATAAGAATAAGAGTAATAAATACTACTGCTAATAATATATAGCATAATTGTAAGGAGGGAGGTGACAACGGAGTGGGGATCCAATAGCAGGCTTTATTAGAAGAGCATGGTCAAAACAGGCAGGGTCAAACATCAGCAAAAAATCACATCCAAGGCAATGGCAAAAGAGTATTCCATGGAACAAGCGAAGATAAAGGCAGGTAGCAAACAATCAGAGTCAAGGAAACGGTCCATGATCAAAACACTAAGGGTAGTAGCTGGTCCACTGTAGAACACACAATAGTAGCTGGTCCACTGTAGGGCTGTCAAAAAAAAATCGAATTTCGAATATTCGTCGAATTTAAAATAAAAATCCACATTCGAATGCAAAAACGTTGCATTCGAATTTTAAGTGTGCATCAGGCAGCCTTATCAGTGGCGCACGAAATGCGATGACAATGTAAGTGTCATTGCATTTTAATTCTTTTGCTAGCCTATCCAGTTGAACCCACTAGATGCGGCGCTGCTACGTTGTTCATTCAAAGTATTGCAGAAAAAGAGAACAATCAATGCGGGGAAGATGTTGTTTACGTCAAAACCGAAACCAAGCCGTTCACACAGAACGCATATTTATCGCATTTTCTAGAGGGACATCTATTACCAGTGTTGCCAAGTCCGCGGTTTTCCCACCGGAATTGGGCTACTTTAACACGTTGCCACGAGTTGTTTTTCATGTCCGCGGGTTGAAACGACTCCAATAACATGATATTTATCCCCTGGAATGCGAATTTTAGCAGGGGAACCCCGCCAAAAAACGTGCATTTTACCCCCGGAAAGCGATTTTTAAACGTGTAGTTTACCCCCGGAAAGTGATTTTTATCTGGGGACCCCCTCGAAATGCCGTTGGACTAGTTTTGAGTAGCGATTAGGCGGGTTTTCTTGTGAAAACCTGGCAACCCTGTCTATTACCGTTTCACTCGCATCTCGCACAAGAGAGCCGCATGTTTAGAAAGCTATGTAAAATTAATGTAGGTTCAACTTTTTAAAAATATGTCTCAAGACTTTATGGCGGGTTTCCCCATCCCACGGCATCTCAAGTTTTTAAATGAAGAAAGTACTCTTTGCGATTGGTTTTCGGTCCTTTGTATTAACCCTCTAAGCGCCAAAGTCGCAAAATTGCGACAAGACGTCATACTTAATCAAATAGTTCCTTTCACGTTCCTATTCAAAGTGTTCGAGGAAATAGCAGAGTAAGTGAGCTATCGTTTCATTGATGCGGAAGCAGTTCAGCTCATAGCATGCGAGTAAATTGTGAGATTTGTGAGAGAAAATCGCCAAATGGCCAAATCCAGCATTTTTCCAAAAATCCCTGGCACCTAAAAGTTAAACTATACATACATGCATGATGCTGTTTTGTTTCTAATTGTTTAAGCAACTTTATTAATTATATATGGTTTATAGACATTACTTTAAACATTATGCCCCCTAACTGAAATTATGCTTTTTAAATTAGAATATAATTCGAATATTGACAATATTTAAGTAAACAATTCAAATGTAGTTTTTCAGCCATTTTGACAGCCCTAGTCCATTTGCCCAGATTTGAGGATCACTGCTCTAAAAGCTGCTGGATCCGGGTATGGCTGGGGGTTCTGTAACGAGGGAGGCGACAACGGAGTGGGGATCCAATAGCAGGCTTTATTAGAAGAGCGTGGTCATAACAGGCAGGGTCAAACATCAGCAAACAATCACATCCAAGGCAATGGCAAAAGAGTATTCCATGGAACAAGCGAAGATAAAGGCAGGTAGCAAACAATCAGAGTCAAGGAAACGGCCCATGATCAAAACACTAAGGCAAGGCAAAACTAGGAAACTTGGAAAACAAGGAACTTATTTTAAACATTATGCACTTTTTGCAAAGATAGTCGTGTTATTTTATTATGCTTTGAAGAAACGTGCATAATATTTTGCTCGATGCGCCCTCTTGTGGCCTCAGGAGAGAAGCCAAAAGCTTTTTTCCCCCCTAACTGAAATTATGCTTTTTAAATTAGAATATAATTCGAATATTGACAATATTTAAGTAAACAATTCAAATTTTGTTTTTCAGCCATTTTGACAGCCCTAGTCCATTTGCCCAGATTTGAGGATCACTGCTCTAAAAGCTGCTGGATCCGGGTATGGCTGGTGATTCTGTAACGAAGGAGGCGACAACGGAGTGGGGATCCAATAGCAGGCTTTATTAGAAGAGCGTGGTCATAACAGGCAGGGTCAAACATCAGCAAACAATCACATCCAAGGCAATGGCAAAAGAGTACTCCATGGAACAAGCGAAGATAAAGGCAGGTAGCAAACAATCAGAGTCAAGGAAATGGTCCACGATCAAAACACTAAGGGTAGTAGCTGGTCCACTGTAGAACACACAATAGTAGCTGGTCCACTGTAGGGCTGTCAAAAAAAAATCGAATTTCGAATATTCGTCGAATTTAAAATAAAAATCCACATTCGAAAACATTATGCACTTTTTGCAAAGATAGTCGTGTTATTTTATTATGCTTTGAAGAAACGTGCATAATATTTTGCTCGATGCGCCCTCTTGTGGCCTCAGGAGAGAAGCCAAAAGCTTTTTTCCCCCCTAACTGAAATTATGCTTTTTAAATTAGAATATAATCGAATATTGACAATATTTAAGTAAAAAATTCAAATTTTGTTTTTCAGCCATTTTGACAGCCCTAGTCCATTTGCCCAGATTTGAGGATCACTGCTCTAAAAGCTGCTGGATCCGGGTATGGCTGGTGATTCTGTAACGAAGGAGGCGACAACGGAGTGGGGATCCAATAGCAGGCTTTATTAGAAGAGCGTGGTCATAACAGGCAGGGTCAAACATCAGCAAACAATCACATCCAAGGCAATGGCAAAAGAGTACTCCATGGAACAAGCGAAGATAAAGGCAGGTAGCAAACAATCAGAGTCAAGGAAATGGTCCACGATCAAAACACTAAGGCAAGGCAAAACTAGGAAAACATACAAACATTCAATCACCAGCGAAGACAGAGAGTGTGTGTGCTATTCTTATAGTCCTACTAATATGAGGCAGTTGTGAACTGATAATGAGTGCTGATGAGTCCGGGCAAAGGATTATGGGAAAATGGAGGCCTGAGTGAAGGTACAGAATGGAGTTTGTGACAATAATAAATAAATAAATACATGAATAAATAAATAAAATACAAATAATTTCTTAATATCTTACAATATTGCTTTAGGCAAAGCCTAATTTTTAAGAATATTTAGATATATTTTCTGTAAAACAATGCATACACTAAAACAAACAGATTTTTGCAGTAAGAGTCTGATTTAAAAAAGTATTCAGGATGCAAGTTGATATATTAAGTTGTGCAATCACTGATTTCATGATATTATTCTTCATCTTCATTCTGCCAGAGAATTCCCAGGAGCTCAGAAAATGGAAGCTGCGCTCCTTCAGGTATGCTCTGTTGCAGATGTAAGAGTGCATGACATTTATTTTTGCCTCTCTTAAATGCAGTGGAGTAAACAGTATGAAGTCAGAATACAAGACTGTATCTCCTGAGGATCTTTGAATGTGTTGACAGCAGTAGGATAACAACCGAAGCTCTTACACAAAGACAAATATAGATACCATTTCTGTGTTCTTTGGTCAGACTCTAAGATTTTACTCCATTTCTTATTCATGAGAACGTATCCATCTCCTTCTTCCTCAGTGTGCTGTCAAATTGGGCTAATTTGACTCGGGGAGTTTGGACGATTGTAAAAGGCTCTATAAAAGATGTTGCTTCAAGTGTAAAGATTCAAAACCTCCCACCTGAATCTGAAATCTGACAGGAAAATTATGGTATAGTTAAATTTGGAAGGGAATGGTAGTTGCAGTCAAGATGTATGTGTGTTTGGTGCCCTTGGGAGTCTGTGTTTGGAAATGCCAACACACTCATCAAATATCCCTCAGAATCTCCTCAAAAACTGTCAGCAACCACAACAGAAATAAACATAACCTGTAGGCGTGAAACTCTCTATAACATAACACCGTGAGCGGTCCACAGTGAGATGCTCTTCCAACCATAACAAACACAGGGCTTTTTTGCATCATTGGCTCTGTGCCAACGAGTCTGACCTATTCAGGAAGCGATATGGCTGGAGCGTATAGTAGTGGCTGTGCCTTGATATCATAATGTGAGCAAAGACAGACTGTGAGGCAGGTGCAGACTGTGGGGTTTCAAGCCCATTTACTTCCCCTATTCAAATGCACACATGCAGATGGAGCCAAAAATAAGACCTTCTACCTGTCTGGAGCTGCTTGTTTAAAGCTATGAGCCTTTGGGGAGGTTTTCTCCTTCTAAACTGCCCTCAAAACAACCAAGGACTCAAACACACTAATTGCACACCTTCTGTTACTGGCTACTCAGAATAAATGCCCAGCCACTTGACATGTTTTACCATAAGCGGTTCATATATTACAGTACCCAATCGCTGATTTTACACACTGCTCAGTATCTCAGATGAG